TATATATATAATATGGATGGATGGATGGATATACATATAGATACATGCATATAAATATATACATATAAATATATAAATATATATAGACGGGGAGAGGGCAGGCCCCAGAAGCCATCTTATCACCAGCATACTATTTTTTTTCCCACTATGGGAGTGTGCTGCTTTTGGGACTCAGTTTGTTTGAGGCTTCTTGGACAGATGAAGTCCTTTGGATGAAGGACGAAACGTCTCAGAAAAAATAAAAGAAGCCATCCAGATGACCTGACTGAATTTTGTTGGATTTTTACCTGGATTATTGAGCATTAACTTTGATATTTCCGGTATTTATTGAGTTTGAGTCCTAATTTAACACCTTTGGATGCTTCAGTCCTCCCACTGTCCCATGTCTTGTGGGTTAACTTCTTCCTCTGGATAACTTCCAATTATTAACAACAGGAATCTTGTTATTAACTGAATCAAATGGTGCTGTTTGAAAGAGTTTACTCCGTTAGTTTTGAAGATATATGCATACGCACTTTTGAAATGTGAACAATTCAATCAACAACTGAGTATTAATATGTACCACTGTAGTAAATCTACAATCATTACTATTGTTTACCTCTTTTCAGTGTTTTCACCAGTTTACAAAGATAAACAAATGCATCTATAAGAAAATAAACAAATAAGTACAGCCTTTTATCTTACTTGAGGTTAAAACAAGCTGTTTTTTATGATATTACTAACACATGTTTGAAATTATTTCAACAATAATTAAATCTTACTAATTAAATTATTACTTTTCTACTAATTATTGGGTGCAAAAATGAAATCATTTTACTTAAAATCTCACCCTCATCATGTTCAGATGCCCAGAGTTTATGCAAGTTGTGCTGCCACGTCAGGCTTTTTGTTTGCTTTTTAAAATAAAGCTAAGCTTTACTTTTGAAATCCTTGAGTAAGTATTGATTCATCGGTTCTATCCCATAAACCACGACATTAAGAACATAGATATTGTTCACTGCTGTTAATTTTGGCCAAAGGTACAAGGAGCCAAAGCAATGTGGCCCTTGAGCTGCAACTTGAGGACGCTGAATTTATTCTATTTTGTTTTTAGTTCCCCGTCGAGGAATGAAGAGGGAGAATTGGAAATACCTTCTGTCAGTAAGAGTTGTGAGCATGAAAACTTAGAAAATAAGTGAGGTACCAACTTCCATTCCGGTGTGTGGGCTGCACTGTTGAAAATTGGGTTGCCATGTCAAAATCCAAGATGGCTGCCTCCATACATGTACACATTATAAGTTGAATAACTTGAAAAATAAGCGACGTGCCGACTTCCTTTTCGGTGTGTGGCTGCGTCAAGGTGCAAGGAAGGTCACTATTGAAAATTGGTATGTTAAAATCTAGTCCAGAAAAACACTCATCTGCAGAACTACAACCATTCACTGTTCCAATCCCTCAGCGATGAGGGACATCAGCATTCTGCTTGTATTGCTCTGAGAGGCTTTAATGATAAGCCATCATGTCCTCAGATCGAAGAACATTTCTTGTGAACGACTGCAACATATTTCCCAGGTTTTCTTTCCTAGCACAAACAGACAAGACGTGCATCTGCCCTGTAAAGTTACGAGTTAAACACATCTATGACTGTGTAACACCACACTTATACATTTTTGCACACAATAGTTTTAGTGTCACTATTTTTGGAGGAAATGATGAAAAAGGCATTACCAGTTCTGGTCTCCACTCTTCATGACAGATGTGGCCAAACACAGCTTCTCCCTCACTGACCATGGTTCTGTTGGTCCAATCACAAGCAGCTTGTGTTCTGCACGATGTGAGGAGGAAACATGTCACAGTTAGTGGGATGAATGTTAAAAACAGAGCCTGTTAACACTTTACAGGTTGTTCGGCCTGTTGTCGACAGCAGTGCCTCTCATCTCTGCTTCAGTGGTGTTTTATGTGCCCTGAAGACAAGCAGCTGCAATCTATAGGAGAAGTGTCTCCATTTTAAATATCTATACACTGAGGCATGGGGGCTGTCAGCTCGGGATGACAGCAGCATTAATCCTTGCAGCCAGCTCTGCAGGGACTGATGGCTGCCATGCAGGGAAGTTACAGTGGTGGTATTCAGCCGACGTTACTCACTTCCAACCCCGGTAGCCATCGTCCTGTCATCCCGACCTTCTTCCATACATCTTGTTGGCGGACACCCGCTGGTAAATAACGCCGGCGATGTTACAGACAAACGTAAGCGGGTGTTACGTTCACGGTCCTCTGGTTTTTTGTGTGTGTTGATTTTGTTTTTTCTTAGCTAGCTGTAGCTCGCTGAGCCGCCTCGTTCAAGTCTTCTGCACCTCAGTAACTTGGACTGACGAGCTAGCTCCGACTGCTACCTTCAAAGTATGGAAGCCCATTGACGCCACTATGAGGGGGGGGGGGGTCTAAATACATAAATATGATTTAAGATGCCATATTTATAGGTTAGCGTTCTCGTAATCATACAAACACATAATGACATGTAGTTATGTTAAAACCCTCAGAAGTTTCTTAACTTGTGTGGAGAAAAAAAAATCACTGTAATGCCACTTTGATTGTTGATATGCGCTGCTGATTATCCATGCTGCTGATCTCATGCTGCTGATTTATTTCATGCTGCTGTGATCATTCATACTCTGCTCGCACACTCGTGTTCAGTGTTGCCAGATAGAGTCGAGGTTTTCCAGCCCAAAAGTCTGTTAAAAACCGCCCATCACACAAAAACCCGCCCAATCAATATATTTTTATATTTACTGTTTGAACGCGCGCACACACACACACACACACACACACACACACACACACACACACACAC